AGCGCATGCCGCCATGGCTCGCCAACCGCGCTTGCTGCACGGGCGATGTCGCTCGTCGTCCCTTTCTCCAGGGCCCTCGGCCCGGGTGTACAGGGGTAGCGGGAACCTAGGAGGTGGCCGCTCGCACCAGGGCCTCGTCATCTCCAGCCTCGCATCCTCGTCGCGGTGGCAGGGGACCGACCGTTTCTTCGGCGGGAGCGGATCAGGCCCCTCCTGGGGGCCTTCCCCTTCTCTTCGCCAGAATCTGTGGATCGATGCCATTGGCATCGAGATTGGAGGCGGAGCAAGGAAGAAGAAGCAGGCGGAGCAAGAAGAGATGGACAACGGGGGCTCCTGCCCATCCGTACTTATAGCCCCAGAGAGGCCAACCGTCGACCTCTGCGATCACAGGTAATGATGACTCTTTTGCATGCAGCAGGGACTCGTCAAATCAGGCAGTTGCCAAGGCAGCATGGGGAAGCGGAGACGCCCACGTCCAATCAATCGGCACGCGGCGACCAAGGCCGCAGGCTGTTCGGGCCCGTGGCGCTCCGCACTTGCCCTTTGACTTCGCTGCTAAGCCAAGTCCGAGCACGCCTTGAGCCCGGGGCTACTGTCGGCGTTCTAGGAACGGGGGTCCCCAGGCTTGCCTGCCTGCGGCCTGCAGCGTGGCTCAACAAGTGGCCCAGTACGGCCCGTCTTCATCAACAAACACTCAAGACCCTCGCGAGGGGCCAAGCCTCGCGGGGCGGACAACACAAGGCCTCCTTTGAGGCGGCCTCACCAGGCAGGCTCGCGAGGAGGCAGAGAGATACAAGGCGAGGAGTACCTCGTGAGGTGCTCATGACGCAAGCCATGACGATAAAACTAGGCGGGCACCAGCCTGCGCAGTGTCCTCATTTCCTCTTTGGTGCAAAGCGGGCAAGCGCAGGTGCGGAGTACCGAGGCATCAAGCAAAGGTTTCCATATCGGTGCAACGAGACCAAGACCAGCAGGCCGGCAGGACGGAGGTCACCGTGGCGCCCAAGACGGCGTCATCACCAGTGCCTTTGGCAGTCGAAGACCACCTTTAGTCAGGATAGCTTGTACTAGCTGTCCCCTTTCAAAATGGCCGTTGTTGGCTCCCTTCCCGCTCAATATTTGGTAAGAGGACCTTGGCCTCTATAAATAGGATTAGCCACCACAGTAGAAGGCATCTCATCTAGAGCCAAGAGAGACGGATGGACTCCTCTCCAAACACACCACCATAAGAACACCTCTCCTTGCGAGGCTGTTCTTCCTCTGTACTATTCATCATCAGCCCAAGAGGCAATCCACCAAACCAGACACTGGATTAGGGTATTACACCACAACGGTGGCCCGAACCAGTATAAACCTTGTGTCTCTTGTGTTGTTCATCGTGCTAGCTTAGAAATCGCGGCGAGGTTGTGGGCGTGTTTCGGTAGGGAGAAGATCTTCGTGCGCACCCCAGAGTTCGAACCTTAAGGGTTTTGCCGGAACCTGATATCCGACAGAACTTTTTCTCTGTTTCATGTGTCCTAGAGACTAATCTTCTCTTAACAAAAATCTTTCTACTACATATTTGGGTTTGTGCTTTTGCAATTCCACTTTATTTCATGTGATTCCGTGGCATAGCACGGAGATTTATTTCTAGCACATATGTCCGTGCGTTGCAACGGGAGAGATATTTTTTTGCGAGAAGCAATGAGAAAGATACTTGACGTATCATCTAAAAAAAGGTCTCCACAATGGTAGGCGGCAGAGCAAGAAGTTAGGATCTTCTCGTTGGACATGTTTGACACGCAAAATCTTGATAGTGATGGGGTTGATCGGCATGGTGGTGAGCACCCAACTCATGTCTTTTTTCCTCTAGGTCCGCCTCCATCTCGGAGTTGTGTCTGCCTCCTCATTTGGTGGATGCGCGGCTACCTTGGGACACTGTTACTTCTACCACTCTATCCTACGACGGCGTAACCGGGTGGATTATTAATTGCAGCGCATAAATCCCGTTTCATTAGCATAATCAGACATGAATGTCCCTTCTTTTTGAGGGTTTATTCTCTTTGATTATTTTAGTGCTCAAGTGCCCATATTTTTGCTCTAATTAAAGACAAACAACATATTCTCTTTTATTGCCACGTGCCCAAAATTTCTTCCATTTATAGTCAACCAACATAGAACGAACGTGCACCGCTAACCAATGGCCAGCGCGAATATTTAAGAAAATACTATAGCATCAAATTAGAAATATTTATTAATTTTTTTGAATATTCAAAAAAGTATGAATTCGTGAATATTCTTGGGATTATTTTTAAATCCCAAACAATTTTCCAAAAATGTGAACATTTTTTTTGAAAATTCCAATATTTTGAAAAACATAAACAAAAGTAGAAACATTAATAGTTTTTGAATCAAACAATATTTTGAAAACATGAATATTCTATAAAAACTCTAATATTTTTGAATTTTTGGTTTTTTAAAGGGGAACATTTAAAATTATTTTAGACAATATTTTCTTCGACGCAAATACTTTTTTGGATTTGTGAACATTCAAAACAATTTTAAAATATGGAACATTTTATAAAATGTAATGTTTATAAAAAATCTTAAAGAATTTTTGAAAAAGCTTAAAAATGAGAAGATTTTTTGAATATTGAGAAAATTTTGAAACATGAATGTTTTAAAAGTTTCCAACATTTTTCTAAACGGAAACAAATGTTTTTAATTCTAACCATTTTTTGAATATTTGAAAAAAATGAAATTCTGAATATGTTTTGTAAATTTTTACCTCACATAAAAAATAAAAATATAGAAGGAAAAAAAGGAAAAGAAAATATAAAAGAGAAAGAGAAAGGAAGAAAAACATAAATAGAACAAAGAAAATGGGTAAACGGGCCGGCCCAGTTTCAGGCGCACTCTGGAAAGCTTCAACTATTATCGCTCCATGCGACAAATAAGGTCTTCCGAATTGCATAGGCAATAATAAGTGGCCTGGCTTCGTTGGGGCGGAGCGCACCCGGCCAAATTACCAAATTCTGGACAATTTTTTTTTCTTTTCTAGTGGATAGACACACAATAATTTAGTACCATATATCGGATAGAAAATAAATCTTTTCTATTAGGGCGCTGCTAGGCGTTGACCGGCTTATTTTCCTCAAAATCAGTTGGCTCGACAACCGATCCATCTGACACAGGTAGTGTGGATCACAACGTTGCTCGGGTTGACCCGTCGTCCTATGTAGTGCTGCAGCCTCAGTCACTTGTCGCCAGCACACCTCATCCTCCATCTCGTGCAGCCGTGCCGGTCACACCCATGGCCGCCTTGCAGCAGCCCCCACAAAAGCAACCGCTCGTCCCCCTGGAAACACATGTGGCTGCTGCGACCACCCCTGTCGGCGAGAACTGCTGGTCGTAGCACCACACACGCGTTGTATTGCAGCATCCGCCTCAGGCGACACCCGGGTCGCAGCACCAGGTGCATAGCATTACAGCTTCGTCGGTGGCAACACCTGGGTCGTAGCACCATGCGTGCTTCTTTGCAGCTCCGCCGGCGATGAGACATGGGTCGCAGCACGACTGGCGTTGCATTGCATCTCCGCCGGCGGCAACACCTAGGTCACAGCAGCAGGGGCGTTGCATTGCAGCTCCGCCGGCGACGAGATCCACATGTCGCAGCTCGTCTGCGTTTCATGGAAGCAACCCGCCGCTGGCGAGATTCGGGTCGCAGCAGGAAAGCCAGTTGCAATGCAGCTGCACCGGCCACGAGATCCGCAGGAAGTAGCATCACCTGCGTTGCGTAGAGGCAACTTGCCGCCGGCGAGATCCGGGTCGCAGCAGGAAAGCCAGTTGCATTGCAGCTGCGCCGACCACGAGATTCGTAGGAAGTAGCATCACCTGCGTTGCGCAGAGGCAACCTGCCGCCGGCGAGATCCGCGGTTGCAGCCGTTGGCACCTGTTGGATGTTGCGTTGGTGGTGTTCTTGCATCTAGAGAAAGAGAGAAGCGGGGTGGAAGAGAGACAAAGGTGGTTGCAGCAGTAGCGGCGGGCAGCAGTGGCATGCTTGAAGCAGCTGCCGGCGGCCTGCAGCCGAGTGTGGTGCGTCGTGGCTTTACGGCGGTGGTCTTCTGTGACGAGAGAAGCACAAGAAAGAGAGAGACACAGCAAAAGAGATAAGATGAAGGAATGACGAAGGAAAAGAAATCACGGAAGATGGGAAGGCCCCTGACGCTTCTGGAGATGGAGACGTGGGCCACAGGCCACGTGAAAGGCGATGGACGTGGCTTAAAAAGCGTGCGAGATCAGCCGGTCCAAAAAGAACGTTTCTCTTTTTATCATGAATGGGTGAAAAAATTGAAGAAACGCACCTTGCTACGCACCGACCAGTTGTCTTGCACGCGGCACAGCCTGACCACCACCGACCACTGTCCGCACATATCATAGTGCATATCACGTGTATTGCCCGTCCGCACTGTCAGGGCGGTAGCTGAGCTCCCGCAACAAAGCAAACACTCGATGAGTGTGTAGCCACCCGTGCCCTCCGACTAGTCGCTACCCCTGAATCTGTAGCCTGCCCAGCATCAACACGTGCAGACGACACCGCCCCTGCCTGCATGCTCTATGCATCTCCGCAGTCCGCACTACATTCTGAAGACATCCACGCATGAACCTCTAAACCCGTGTACAATACTATACTTTCTGCACGGCCTGTAACCCGGTGCCGATGAGATTGTTGGCACCCCCCGGTTTAAGACACCGAGGACGTCGAGGAGCAATGAACCGAATCTTGCCTGCACCAGAATATTTTAACCACTGCAAAAGCCGTCCTGCATTTGTGTTTCAGAGTTGAGTCCTTTGTGCTGAATTTGAACTGTGCCCAGGCTTCTGAACCTCCTATATAAACCCCCCATCGTCCCCATCCCACTCACCTAGCAAATCATATCACTGTAACCTTAAGTTGGACTACAGCATCCGTTGCGAAACCACCAGAATCATAAGGTAGACATTCTACGCAAGCAGAGCAAATGGCGTCGACCTCTCGCCGTATGGTTGCGTCCGTCCTCTTGGTCCTTCTTCTCCTCGTCGCCACAGGTGATCTTCATTAGTCTTCTCAATTTGTTAAGACCATCGGATGGTCAAATATGCATCCTGTAGTATCCATTTGCGTCTGATCCGACGGAGTAATTAAACTGCAGAGATGGGGACGATGAGGGTGGCGGAGGCGAGGCACGGGCACAGGCACTGCGAGTCGCAAAGCCACAGGTACCGCGGAGCGTGCTGGAGGGACGACAACTGCGAACACGTCTGCAACACCGAGGGCTTCCCTTGGGGCAAGTGCAAGTTCCACGACTTCGAAAGGAAGTGCTTCTGCAAGAAACCGTGCTAGCCACTTCATCGACCGATGGATCAGCTGGCTAGTTAGCCGCGCACCACGACCACCCTCGTGATCTTCGTAGTGCTCCTCTCCTGTTTCGTGTACCGCTTTCCTTATTCCTAATCTAGTAAGGTCTACATGCGTTGTGCATGCCATTTCCTTGTTACAAGTATTTTGCTTCGTACGGTGTAATCTAGCTAGGGTGCTAATAAAAGTTGGTCGTCGGTGTGCTTGGACGTCTTTTATCACATTGTACGGGCATCTCCAACTGTCCCGCAGAATCTTTTCTGCATCCATCCGTGGACTGGTCGCATACAGTTTCACATCATCTCAAACCAACCAGATGAAATTCGATCAAACACTGCCAGATTTCATATAAACATGACGGATTTCATATAAAGAATCCGAATTTGATATAAACATGACGGATTTCAGTACATCTACATCAATGGTGCTAGTCCGGCTCTGAAGGTATAATTAATACCTAATCTAAATCGCCGCTCGCGGATCCATTTGTCTTCTCATGTCAGGCAGCCCGATCACGGGACTGACGAGAGCCCCGAAGGTATGTGCTTTAGCGCAAAGGACGGCTTGTGCCCCGGCTGATGCTTCAGCGGGAGGGGAAGGCGGCGCGTCTGCTTTCGTGGAGCCCGTGTGGGATCGACAGAGGTCCTCGCAAAAGAAGAACCGAGCAAGACACTAGCTGTGTATGCTGGCGTCGCCTAAACGGTGGCCTTCATGGGACCCAAGCGACAGTGGACTCCCGTGTTCTACTTCTCCTCGATGATGACGCGGAGCCGCCGGCCACTGACTCGTCGCTCTTCCCGCACCGACTTCTGTCTCTGCCTGCATGGTGCGGTCACAGATACTGGAGGCGCAGTTGTCGATGACAGTGATGACGCCCGTGTCGCTGTGCTCCCCGCCGTGCCGGCATGGAGCAATTCGCCACTCCTCATCGAGTGGGCCTAGAGTAGTGAGTTGCTGAACCACGCAGCGGCTTGGGACGGCAATTTGCTCCAGCGGGTCAGGCGCGAGAGGTGGAGCGGCGAGTTTCTTCGCTCATATCCGGCGGGCTCGGTGGGCCACCCATCAGCTTGTATCCGGCGAACTGCTCTTCGGAAGTCAATGGAAGAGTGGTGAAAATGGTGAAGGAGGAGATGGGAGCGGCGCATCTCGCCTAGTTTAAATAGATGGCGGGCAGGAGGAGCTCGGCAGCCCTTTGCGTTTAATGCCGGCCCGCTCATGAGTAGATGTGTGGCCGGAGTAGGTTTTTTAGCTTCCATGCGGATTTAATGGAGGCGTATCAACGCGGCGAGGAGGCGTGTTCAGCCGGGCGGGAAGCGGGCGGCGCCCTCGGCTGGCGCGCTGCTTCAATGCGGAGCAGTGAGAGGTGGCGTCAGCCCTAAGCCGTCTTCAATGCGGAGTGGTGCTTTTTACAGCGGCATGAACACGGGCAATTGGCGCCGGGCGGGAGCGCACGCGGGAGGGGGGAGAGGGTTTTGGTGGGTCAGGACGGTCAGAAAGCGGGCTTGAGAGTGGTCTGGAGCCCACAACCCCCCTCCCCTTCACTTTTGTCTCTGGTTTGCGAGAGACATTGCGTCTGAACCGTTCCACGGGCTGATACAGGTCGACGTTGGATTGCTTCCACGGTCTGGATAACATGATTCAGACGGTTGCGAAAGGTTTACGGGTCATTGGAGATGCCTTAACCGTGCAGTGTAGCCCAAATACCATCACTGCTGCAGATGAGTCTCTGTTGGACCCTGATATGTCTCCAACGTATCTATAATTTATGAAGTATTCATGCTATTATATTACCTGTTTTGGATGTTTAATGGGCTTTACTATACACTTTTATATTGTTTTTTGGGACTAACCTATTAACCGGAGGCCCAGGCCAGATTGTTGTTTTTGCCTATTTCAGTGTTTGGCAGAAAAGGAATATCAAACAGAGTCCAAACGGAATGAAATCTTTGGGAGAGTTATTTTTGGAATGGAAGCAATCCAGGAGACTTGGAGTAGACATTAGGGAAGCTTCGAGGAAGCCATGAGTCAGGGAGGCGCGCCCTACCCCCTGGGCGCGCCCCCCACCCTCGTGGGTCCCTCGTGGCCCCCCTGGTCGACTTATTTCGCCTATATATATCCATATACCCCAAAAACCTCCGGGAGCATAATAGATCGGGACTTCCGCCGCCGCAAGCCTCTGTAGCAACCAATAACCTCTCGGGAGCCCGTTCCGGCACCCTGCTGGAGGGGGAATCCATCACCGGTGGCCATCTTCATCATCCCGGTGCTCTCCATGACGAGGAGGGAGTAGTTCACCCTCGGGGCTGAGGGTATGTACCAGTAGCTGTGTGTTTGATCTCTCTCTCTCTCTCTCTCTCTCTCTCTCTCTCTCTTGTGTTCTTAATTTGGCACGATCTTGATGTATCGCGAGCTTTGCTATTATAGTTGGATCTTATGATGTTTCTTCCCCTCTACTCTCTTGTAATGGATTGAGTTTTCTCTTTTAAGTTATCTTATCGGATCGAGTCTTGAAGGATTTGAGAACACTTGATATATGTCTTGCATGTGCTTATCTGTGGTGACAATGGGATATTCATGTGATCTACTTGATGTACGTTTTGATGATCAACTTGCGGGTTCAGTGACCTTGTGAACTTATGCATAGGGGTTGGCACACATTTTCGTCTTGGCTCTTCGGTAGAAACTTTGGGGCACTCTTTGAAGTACTTTGTGTTGGTTGAATAGATGAATCTGAGATTGTGTGATGCATATCGTATAATCATGCCCACAGATACTAGAGGTGACATTGGAGTATCTAGGTGACATTAGGGTTTTGGTTGATTTGTGTCTTAAGGTGTTATTCTAGTATGAACTCTATGATAGATCGAATGAAAAGAATAGCTTCGTGTTATTTTACTACGGACTCTTGAATAGATCGATCAGAAAGGATAACTTTGAGGTGGTTTCGTACCCTACAATAATCTCTTCGTTTGTTCTCCGCTATTAGTGACTTTGAAGTGACTCTTTGTTGTATGTTGAGGGATAGTTATATGATCAAATTATGTTATTATTGTTGAGAGAAATTGCACTAGTGAAAATATGAACCCTAGGCCTTGTTTCCTAGCATTGCAATACCGTTTACGCTCACCTTTACCACTTGTTACCTTGCTGTTTTTATATTTTCAGCTTATAAATACTCATATCAACCATTGATATTGCACTTGTATCACCATCTCTTCACCGAACTAGTGCACCTATACAATTTACCATTGTATTGGGTGTGTTGGGGACATAAGAGACTCTTTGTTATTTGGTTGCAGGGTTGTTTGAGAGAGACCATCTTCATCCTGCCCCTCCCACGGATTGATAGGTCATTCACTTGAGGGAAATTTGCTACTATCCTACAAACCTCTGCACTTGGAGGCCCAACAATGTCTACAAGAAGAAGGTTGTGTAGTAGACATCAAGATCTTTTCTGGCGCTGTTGCCGGGGAGGTGAGTGCTTGAAGGTATATATTTAGATCTTGCAATCGAATCTTTTTGTTTCTTATTTTATCACTAGTTTAGTCTATAAAAGAAAACTACAGAAAAAATGGAATTGAGTTTGTCTCATACGCTTCATATTTTTAATATCTTTCGTGAGAATGATGGTAAGGAAAATTGTGCTCAAGTGGTAGAAGAAGAAGTCTATAAAATATTTGGCATAAAATATTTGAATGATGAGCATGATTGCAATGTTGTTAGTATGAATTCCTTGAATATCCATGATGCTAATGATATGCAAAGCTACAAGCTTGGGGATGCTATGTTTGATGAAGATGATATTTTTAGTCCCCCAAGTTTGGATGAGAAAATATATTATGATGATAGCATGCCTTCTATCTATGATGATTATTATGATGAAATTTATGCTATAAAGAGTAATGATATCCATGAAACTTGTCCTCATGATTTTAATGCTCAAATTGATTATGTGAATAAAGTATCACATGATAGTCATTTCGTTGAGTTTGCTCCCACTACTATTCATGAGAATAAATTTGCTTATGTGGAGAGTAGTAAAATGTCTATGCAAGTAGATCATGAAAAGAATGCTTTAGGTGCTGGTTATATTGGTGAATTCATTCATGATGCTACTGAAAATTATTATGAGGGAGGAACATATGCTTGTAGGAATTGCAATAATATCAAGTTTCCTCTCTATGTGCTTAAAATCTTGAAGTTGTGCTTGTTTTGCCTTCCTATGCTAGTTGATTATTGTTCCCATATTTTGTTTGCTCACAAAATCCCTATGCATAGGAAGTGGGCTAGACTTAAATGTGCTAGTCATATTCTTCATGATGCTCTCTTTATGTTTCAATTCTTATCTTTTATGTGAGCATCATTGAAATCATCATGCCTAGCTAGGGGCATTAAACGATAGCGCTTGTTGGAAGGCAACCCAATTTTATTTTTGTTCTTTGCTTTTTGTTCCTGTTTAGTAATAAATAATTCATCTAGCCTCTTGTTAGATGTGGTTTTATGTTTTAATTAGTGTTTGTGCCAAGTAGAACCATTGGGAAGACTTGGGTGAAGTCTATGCTATCTTGCTGTAAAAAGCAGAAACTTGTGCGCTCACGAGATTAGCTGCCATTTCTTACTAGAGAGTGATTTTAGGTTGATTCCGTTTGAAGATGATTAATAGACAAATTCCTCAGTTCTGTCAATTTATTTCAGAATTTTTAGAGTTTCAGAATTATTCTAATGATACAGATTACTACAGACTGTTCTGTTTTTGACAGATTCTGTTTTCTATGTGTTGTTTGCTTATTTTGATGAATCTATGAGTAGTATCGGAGGGTATGAACCATAGAGAAGTTGGAATACAGTAGATATTACACCAATATGAATTTAGAATGAGTTCACAATAGTACCTAATTATTGATTTATTTTCTTATACTAACGGAGCTTACATGTTTTGTGTTGAGTTTTGTGTTGTGAAGTTTTCAGGTTTTGGGTGAAGTTTC